TCGTTTCGGATGTGCATCGTCCGTGGCCGACCAATCAAATCTTGACGTTGGTTACGATTAGGGACTAATTTGGGACGTGGGGGATCATCCCAGTAATGCTCATCCTCTAGAGGAAACATTTCAGAAGCCCAAATTTTCTCCAAAGTGTCGATAGTGTATATGGGATCTATGTAGCACTTAAAATGCAACTGAAGATAAGAGCATACAGCCAACACATGCGAGCAAGGAATTCTGTAAATTATCCATTTTTCGCATGTGCACGAACGATCTTCAAGACACATAACTTGCTTATGACCACCCCCAGTTGACACTTCAGTAAGAGAATGCCTTTAATGCTGGCCTTGAATGCCCAAAATACTCGTAAAAAAATATTATATTCAGAAGATTCAAAATTGTACTGCCACTTCACAATCGACTCAGGGTTATACTTCTTGATGGCACCCAAAACTTTGGTAACAAGTCATATGACGAGTCCCAATCACCGAAAATCTTAGCAATAGCTTTGTTCCTTGCAATTCATGCTTTTTTATACGAAATATCATACTTGAACTTCTCTTTTATATTCTTCTGAATTGTCGACATTTTGGTTTATTGTGTATCACCCACGACTCCTAGTATATTTTGACAAATGAAGTCAGAGTCTAATTGTCGATGATCACGACTCATCTTGAGGTAAAAGCAAGTATGTGGTCCATCATATATCATGATCTGAAATATTTTTAGTTTTTTCTTAAAACAAGCACGCAGTTTTCAGGTGCAATTAAACTGCATGTACATGATGCACTGTACTGCTCACACCCTTTGTGTTCGTATCTACCACCATAAAATCATGATTCAGCTTGATTGAATACCATTTAATAGCCCTAATCAATGAAACTTTGTCTTGAAAAATCATTCCCTTCGCCAACTCCATCTTCACCGGATCCCACAAATGTTGTTTATCTAACGGTACTAAGCTATTTGCTTCAGTATATTGACCAAATTCAATGGTGGTGAATGAGGAAGAGCAAGGCTTATGCATCTCCACCATCTACGCAGCCTCAAAGTCTTCGTCATTCTCATCTTCCTCATCCGCCTCATCAATCATTACTTCCTCAAACTCTTCTTCTTCTTCTTCGTCATCATTAGACACATCTGTACGATCATTGGCACACATTTCATCATATTCCCGGATAGGCAATTGTTGAATTATTAGTTAATGGACATCATCTTGATCACCCAACTCAATTCCTGCCTCGCCCATTTCAAAATTTTGACTGAATGAATTGTTGGCTGAGTTCCCACCATATGACGCAGTTCCAGTGCTTTGTTGTGTGCAAAAGTACTGCACAGACTCATCCATTACCTGTATCCCCACTGGATTTGAACATTCACCCGTCATGCCAGAAGTTGAAAATGTCAATGGACCCATCTCTCGCCTAAGCAACTCAGTGTAAGACATGACATTTGTTGTTATGCACCCTCCGGTCTGACTACTTCCTATGCTAGCATTTATGTACTCCGTCTCCATGTACAAAGCAACACTAGCAATGTTGGGGTTGTCAAGTACCACATTAACCACAAAAGTCACTAGTTCATCATTGAAAATTTCTAGACCTACATATGTATTCATGTTTGGTCCTATTCCAAGTGTAAAAGGATATCTACAAGTCAACTTCAACTTGGTATGTGTCCTGTCCAAACCCATTACAGTGTAAATTTTAGTCAATAACTCCAACAGTTGTGTACTACTACTGATAACAATACCACCTTTGGGAGGACAACTGTATGATAAATCCTCCGAGCCATAACTCATTTGTCCACCCCAATATAGTAAAATGGTAACTTGTTTTCCTGCCATTTCAACAAGATTTCCTTGAGGAATAAGTTCTGAATTCAGAAGAACCTGAGGATGGATAGAAACAATTGAGGAAAAACATGAATAAGTAATACTTGAGGAAAAACATATTCATATTCTAGCGGAGTCCCAACAATTGGTTTGACGTCTTAAACATGTTATCATGTATTGAATCACAAGTTAAACATGTTATCAAGCAGACAAACAATGTAGCTGATTTTTTAGGCTAAAACGGAAGGAGAATATGCTTTATACAATAAAGTCACATTTTAGTATCATATAGATGCTGAATTAGATAAGACATATTCAGGACGTAATAAATGAGTACGTATTACAAGTGAGATTGAAGCAAACTAAAATTACAAGAAAGCAAAGATCCAATTCTCAAACAAATGAATGAATGAGTTTAGAACATAAGTTACAAAAGTATGAATGAGTTTTTAACAAAGGAATTACAAAGGAATGAATGAGTTTGTAACAACGGTTGAAAATGTCATACAAAGTTGAAAGTTGTTTACATAGTAGCACAAAGTGTAGGAGAAGAATTTGTTGGTATGCATTTTGTAGTTTAGTTGGGATAATTCTTTTTTTTTTTTTGCCTTGAGAACTATGATTATATTGGTAACCCATGAAGCATATTTTAAAGATAGGGCCCTAAGAAAGAGGGTATACATAGGTGAGAGATTGACCTCACTCCTGGCTATATGTGGTTGCGGGTTCCAATGTTATTATGTCCTCACCCCCCCCACCAAAAAAGATTATAATAATAATAAAGAAAGCACATCAATGGTGGTAGTGCTGATGGTGGTGGTGGTGGTGGTGAGAATCGGTGGACTTGGAGTGGCAAGTGATGATCAGTGTCTTGACCAAAACCAAAAAATTAACTTAATATCGAAAACGTACAATTGATATTTTATTTGAAAATGCAAAATTAACTTAACAAGAATGCAGGAAACATTAATTTTTTTTCAATTTAATTATTTTGACTTAGTCAAATAGAGGCATGAGTTGGATAGATTAGATATTGGCATTGGTAAATCTCAAGGATATATGAGGATTAAAAAATTCTTTTTAATGAAATTATTAACGTCTGTTATACAAAAGGGGTGTGGATGTCAAACGTGTTCAAATGTTAAGGGGTCTCAGTATAATTTTTGAAATGTGAGGGGGTGTCCTCGTCATGAAATCAAATGTCAGGGGGTGTGAGTATAATTTATGCAATTGGGAACTTCTTTGCCACGGATGCATGGATTCCAGCCACCGGAGTGTCCTTCACTTCTACCCTGTAACACACGGTTACACCTTTATGTCAATTTTAGTTAGGAAAATGACTTGCATGTGCTATAATTTTCATTAGTTTGTGACTTTATGTGTTGGCTTCTTGTTGTATAGTTTTTGTATATCAAGAGATGCATTCTATGAAAAGAGAAAATATATAGTTTTACTTATATTTTTGTGGTGGTTTGGGTGATTTAAATTAAAAATAATTTTAATAACCTCTATTTTTTTTTATCAAATGTCAGGTTAGAATTTTTTCATAAATAAATTCTTGAAAATTTTGGCTAATTCAAACTGTTTCCAGCTTCATACAAATTATAAATTAGTGAGTCCATAAGAATCAGATGACTCAGTACGTAGGTACAATAATCTATCACAAATTTGCTTGACAACGTTATATTAGATGTGTTCAACATATAATCTCACTGTGAGTTTTAAAATAGTTTGTATTCTGATGTAAAACCTGATATTTGCCCTTTTGTAAACCAACTAATTTTCTTTTCCTTTTCATCTTTCTTTCTAAAACCTTAACATCAAACTACGTTCATCAGTAGTTTTCGTTTCCTTTTAATGTTGTTTCAAACATGTATTTGGATGATTTTTGTGTGTAAGAGAGAGAGATAGATAGAGGGAGAGAGAAAGACCACTGTGTTTCACAACTTTAATTCACATGGAAAGAAGTCTCTTCTTGCGGCTAAGACTAAAAAAAAAAACACTTGCTCACAAGCCTAATGGAGTCGAACTTAAAAATGTTCTTCAAACCTAACTGGTTTGGGATATCAAATTTATGTTATTAACATTCCTCCTCCACTAATCAAAAAACAGTTGCACAGTAAGTATTAAAAAAAAGCTATCCAAACAACAGAAAAAATTTATTTCATTTGTATCTCAATCCCTTCACAACTGTAACTAACCACATACAACGATAATTTTGATGCACATTTTTACTCATATTCATAACCTTATCAAATTTGATTCAATAAAATGTCAAATTATCCCACACAGCCTAATTGAAAAATTTTCATATATACTACTCAATACCCCATTAAATAATCAATTCAATAATCTATAATCTATTTAATACTCAATTCACTAATCAACTCAATAATCAATAATCTATAATCTACTCAATACCCAACTCAATAACTCAATCAATAATCAACTCAATTCAATATCGGATATTTTCAATGAATTTCAATATTTCTATCATTTCATATAATTTTAATATTTTTTATTAAATAATCAAGCAACTAGCTTAAATAATTTCAATTTTCTCACCTACTGGATGCTGTCAATGGTGCATGGAGATTTGGGGCTTTAGTGGTTGGGTGGGGCTGCGTGGTCATGGGTGGGGTTGCGTGGTCGTCGGTGGGCCTGCGTGGTTGTGGGTGGGCCTGCGATGGTGGTTGGTCTCCGCTGGTGATGGTTCTCCGGTGTTCTTCTGCGCTGGTGGTTCTCCGATGCTACTCTGGTGGTTCTCCAATGCTGCGTTGGTGGTTCTCCGATGGTGGTAGAAGGCTGACTTAGGGCTCAATTTCGGGGGAAAAAGAGAAAGAATAGGGGAAAGGCGAGGGGGAGGAGGGAAAAAAATAGGGTTTTTGATTTGAGTTAAAAAAAATAAAAGCGTCAGTTTAACTAACGTCTCCAACCCAACTCAAAAACGTCAGTTGGTTTGACGTTTTCAAGCTAAAGGCGTCAAACCAACTGACGTTTTTTGGCTTAAAAACGTCAGACCAACTCATGTTTTTTAAATGTCTTGAGTTTGGGAAATACTTCAAAACAATGCCTTAGTTGAAATTTTTTTTAAAAAATCCCATGGCATGGGTCAAAAACTCGGCAGAGGCTCGAGCATTGCCTTTTTGTCAGATTCCTTTCAAGGGTCTGTATGGATGGACCTATTTCTGTGGCAAGCTATGCCAAAGGTAGAGCCTGCCAGAGTCCCATTGCCACCTTCACACCCGATGGTTTGGCACTGGGTGGAGTGATGCTTTCTTCTACAAGGGATCAACTTTTAAGATGCAACTCGAGTTGGTCGGTATTGATTATTATAGGTGGTTTCACAATCACTCAGTCAGCCATTGTTTTAGTTTTACGTGCTTGGCCACCCGTTTGCTGGGTGATCTAACATTCAATATGTGGAGGCAGCTCTCTGAGGGTGGAGTTCTACTGTCAGCTATGGAGTGTGCTAAGCAGGATGCATGGGATCGGGCGAGGAGTACTGAGGTTTAGGAGCTGCGTCAGACAGGTATGGTTTTTTTTTCTTTTCTTTGTCCATTTCATGGTGGTGGGGATCGAGCAGAAAGGCGACCCATCTGTGCATCCATGTGTTGCAGCTGCTTGTTTGAAGTCTGGTTTGGTGTCAGGGGTCAGGACCACTTCCTGGTGTGATCCCCAGGTTCTATCACCAGACGTTGGTGGTCAGGGTGCAGGCCATTCTGGTCATGGTGCTGGCACGTGAGTAGTGGAGGTCTGGTGATACGTGACCGTACAGGTACTGATCCCAGTCACAGCTGCTCTGTCGTTGCAACAATTTTCCACGACGGCTTTAACTGACTCCCCCTCCGGAAGGCATAGGAGGGAATGATTGCTTTCTTGATGATTGGAACTTTTCTTTTACTTCCAGCACTGTACGTACATGTGGTTCGTTGAAAAAAGATGAGTTTAAAGATTTTACTGTTTATTGATTATTCTTCCCAGAGGTCCTAGTGTGATCGCTCACGGGAATTAGCCTCTTTACAAAAAATAGTGGTGAGGCTGCCTACCTACTATCTCGCCATGACCCTGTGCTCTAACTAACTTGTTCATTGGTTATGGCCTATTGATTTTGCTTCCCCTTCCCGCTTTTTGTTGTTCTGATCTTTTGAGTGAAACAAACATATGAAACTTTTTGAGTTTTGCACCGACAGTGAGAACTACCTCCTTTCTTCAACTAATTATACAATGACTGAGCTTCCGTGTAATTCAGTCACATTGTTAGTACACTAATGAGGCTTCTTTGACGAACTGGAATGATTCTCGTGGCTTAAGATTTGAGTTTCCGGGTGAACAGAACATAGTAGTTAGGCTAAGATGAAAGTAGGGTCACAATGGTAGTAAGCAAGCTTTGATTCTTGTGATGTTTCTCTTGACTTTATACAACATGCTTGAGAACCATTTTTTTTTTTCCCTTTTGATCAAACTAATTTAGAATTTCAAAAATTATACGGGAGTGCCAAAAGTTGACGGATGAGAAAACGAATTTTAATTATTTCTCAAGAAAATTTCTTTCATCCTTTTATTAGGAAGTTGTTTTTGATTTTTCTGGAAAATTTTATGTATATTTCGACTGTTTTGACCTAATACTCTTGCTAGGGTAAAGGGGTCAATTGGGCCTATAAGGGCAAAACGAACATTTTGCACCTATATAGGGAAAACTCATAATTTGGCTCTACCTTGGATAATTTTCCAAGGGTAGGAAACCTTAGAAACTTCCAGTACGTGGTTCGAGTCATTTCAAGAAGAAACTTTCTCAATCAAAAGTTGATTATGTCCACAAGTAGATATTGATTGGTACACTATCCTTTAAATGTTGGAAGTACCTCTATCATGAAAGGAATCTTCTTATATATGTTTTCCCAATCTGCTCGGTTGCAAATTAGTCCCGTTTTTGTACTTCCATTTTTTTTTATTGGGTTTTATACAATTTATTATATGCTTCCATTTACTAGCATTTGTTTTATAGGGTTTGCAATTCCTATTTGGCATAGTAACGTGAAATGGAATTTGGGGATATATGGCAAGGGTAGTAGTTTCAATGAAATCAATAAACTTGAGGGTTGGGGAATTTTTGCAATGAGAGAGTGTGGTCCCACTATTAGTGTTAATAGGACATTGTGTGCAAGACATTTTACTTGATGATGCACAAAACTGTCTTCGTGCAAGATCAACAGTCAAGTATATGTAAGGGCGCAATTAATGAGTGACAAACAAGCAATCAATGACAATTAAGAGTAAAACAGTAAATAATAGATTAACACAAAGATTTATAGTGGTTCGGTCCGGGTGACCTACTCCACTTTCGAAAACGGCAGCGGTGGCCTAGTGTTCTTTATTGATGAATCATGGTCTCCGGAGAGTTATAGTGCTTTTGAGAGAGAGAGAAAGAGAGATAAGTGCAGATAGGTTTTGGAGGCTTCAAGGTGTAGAGGTCTCAAGAAGGTCCTTGGAGGCGTTCCTGACCTGTCATGTTGAGAGGGCTTACATTATATAGCTAGGGTAAGGTAGTAGAGGCGGTGACATGAGGGAGAAGAATTCTATTGATTTGGCAAGTATTGCTATGGTAGGAGATCTTCTATATCTATCTCCATATTATCTTCCCTCGTGCTCCTATTCATCTGGAGAAAAACATTAGTTGGACCTGGACCTAGACTTGTCATGGACCTGGGTGAGGAGGATCAAGAGGAGGGGCGCCCAAGGGCTACCATGGGCGGCGCCCAAGGGGTCCCTTGTCCTCCTCCTCCTTCGGCCATTGGCTTTTGGTGATGTCCTCTTGGTGTCCTCCTCAATGAGTCGACAATGAACGCTTCTTTGGGCTTTTCGATTTATTTAAATTGGGCTTGGCCCAGTAAAATCCGAGCTCATCATTTGCCCCCATGCCCCAAGCCTCTGACTTTCAGTGAGAGGAAGGGGTTATGGGCATGTGCTACAACTTCACCTGAGTAAGTCAAATTTTTCTTGTATTTTCTTCGGTACCACAACAAGTTCATGGGAACTAGGAGTTCAAGCAGTTGTGGAGGAGAGAAAGCGAGGAGGAGTCCACGCCCTTGATATCATAGGAGTCTCCCATAGAGGTGTTTTGGGCGGTGCCCACGTTGAGATAGGAGAGGTGAAGAGGGCTTCAATGGTGCTCTCTTGGAGAAGTAGCTGAAGAGTCCAAGGAGGGAGCACTTGGTGGGTGACACCCATGGTGTATATGTGAGCTGCTGGGCGGTGCCCATATGGCTGAGGTGGGCCTCTAAGACCACGAGGCAGGCGACCAAGGCAAAAGGTAGGTGCCCAAGGCAAGAGGTAGGCGCCTAGGGCCAAGTGGGAGGCGACTAGAGCCATGAAGTAGGCGTTAACGCTTTGCTGGGCGGCACCTTCTTTGCTGTGGACCCCAGTATGGCATCAAATGTAGGGGGAGACTTGGTGGGCGACGCCAACTTGACGGGCGAGGCAGGAGCATTGCAAACGGCTTTGGGCGCCTCTTCTGGGCGAAAGGGAGAGCTGGGCGACGATGATGGAGGTGGAGGTTCTTTGTGTTGTCTTCTCCTCCTCCCAAGAGGGTGATGCCCCCAGTACTTTTCGACCAACGCTTGATGGTCAAGTTAGTGCCCCCACTCCTTCCCCGACTATGACTTCTGGAGCTAGCCTTTGGAGTTGAGACTCCTGTACAGTATTCTATGGGGACTGTAGCTCCACATAGCTGTCCTGTTTTGACCTGACTTTGATGAACGAGAGCTTTTGGACCTGTGGGATATCAGAGAGACAGGCACAAGGGCTACTGAAGAGCAAGTATGGCTCAAGTGGCAGGCACGAGAGGATGCCACGGAGTAGTAGGGCTCGGGCGGTAGGCACGAGAGAATGTCGCAAAGCAAGTAAGGCTCGGGCGACAGACATGAGAGAATGCCGCGGAGCAAGTAGGGCTCGGGCGACAGGTATGAGAGGATGCCACGGAGTAGTAGGGCTCGGGCGATAGACACGAGAGAATATCGCGAAGCAAGTAGGGCTCAGGTGACAGGCACGAGAGGATGCCACGGAGCAGTAGGGCTCGGGCGACAGGCACGAGAGGATGCCGCAGAGCAAGTTGGGCTCGGGCTATAGACATGAGAGAATGCCGCGAAGCAATTGGGGTTGACTTATGAATGAGGTGCTAAGCTAGTGATTGAGGCTGCTCAGGAGTAGAGGTAGAACTACGTATAACTCATAAGAGGGCTGTCGTGGCAGAGACTCATTCCATTTAGATGGAGATGAGGAGGGCTCTCTCATTCCACTGAGATGGAGATGAAGAGGGCTATGAAGAGTAGGGCGCCTGAGACTCATTCCATTGAGATGGAAATGAGGAGGGTGTTGAGGAGCTGGGCGCTTGAGGCTCATTCCATTGATGGAGATGATGAGGGTGCTAATGAGCTTGGCGCCTGGTGTCTGGTGTTGGGCACCTAAAGCTGGGCGCCTGGTGAGAGGGGGCGAGACCTATCATGGGGGCACTTAAGGTGGAGATGGCGAGACCCCTTGTTTGGGCGCTTGGTGAGAGGGGGTGAGACCCATCGTCTAGGCCGCCTGGTGAAAGGGGGTGAGACCCATCGTCTAGGCCTACCTAGTGAAAGGGTGTAAGACCCATCGTCTAGGCCGCCTAGTGAGAAGGGGTCAGACCCATCGTCTAGGCGACATCGAAGGAGGCGCCAAGGTGGAGAAGGCGAGACCGTCATGGGGGCGCCTAAGATGGAGAGGGCGAGACCCCTCATCTGGACGCCTTTTGACTTTTTGTTTACCTTGTTGTTGATAGGTTGTAGGATGTTTGAGATGAAAACAAGACAATTATGAAAAACCTTAATCATGCAAATTTTTATAAAATAATGAATAACAAAATAAATCATCTGAAATTATAAAAGATAAATAAAATCTTCAAGCGTGTCCCATAGGTGGGCCGATGTTTCCTTGGCGGAGTTGTAGCCCTCAAGAGATTGTCTAAATTTCTTCGAGGGGTTGTTGGCGTTCTCTGTCGTCTTGGTAACGACCAAGTGGCAGGGCTTGTCCTCTGCCAACAATGTATTGCCTCAACTGACTACGCTGTATGAGCTCCTCTATCTGCCTTTTGAGCTCATTGCAGTCATTTGTGTCATGGCCATGGTCGCGATGGAAGCGACAATACCTGCTGTGATTTCTACGGTTTGGGGCTGACTTCATTTTCCTGGCCAACGGAGTGTAGGGTCATCCTGTATCCGAAAATAGGATATGCTCCACCGAGGCATTGAGTGGCGTAAAAGGTTGTCGGTCTCTCGGGGGGTACGGACCGAGACGGTTCTTCACAGAAACTCTTTCGGTTCTCTTTCTCTTGTTCTCTACCTCCCACTTGTCTTCACGGATGTCTTTCCTCTTCTCCCCTCCTTAGGAGGACTCACCTTGACAGGCCTTGGTGATGTCATCAGCATTCATGTATTTATGTGCCCTTAACAGCAACTCGAGCATGTTGGAGGGCGGCTTCTTGAGGACAGAGAACATGAAACTAGAGGTGTGGAGGCTGGCGATAAAGGCGGCAAGAGATACCTTATCATCTGGCTCCTCAATTTAGAGAGCCTCCTCGTTGAAGCGAGCGAGCTAGTCTTGCAGGCTTTCATCCCTGTCCTGCTTGATGGTGAGCAAGTGGGTCACTAGTCTCTGATGTCGGCGTCCCCCAATGAAGTGGGAGACGAAGGACCTGCTGAGTTCTACGAAGGAGTG